AGTTTATTCTTGGTAACACTGGTTTAATAATTAAATATTCTGTCAGAAACAAATCAAATCTAAAATAAATCTTTATTTTTTGTGTTTTTGCAGCCCAGAGGAAGGAGAAGCAGTTTTTAAAGGTCTCACTTGCTCTTTAACCTTTTCACCAGGAGTTAATGAGTCTTTTCTTCTCCATAAATGAGTTAATTGATTAATAAGACGTGTTAATGGGTTTATCTGTAAACAGCTTCAGCTGTTCGGCTCGGAGCTCTGATGAAGAGACGAGGGCCTCGTTCAGAATTCTTCTGTTCGTTTTAATTAAAAACTCCAGAGAGACCCTCTCACATCCTTTCACAATAAGAGTCATTAAACACAACGAGGCAGAAAGAACAGGCTGTAGTTTAAATCCCTCCTCCTCGGCCTCTTTACATCGTTACACTTTCAGCTTCAAAGTGCTTCAGCTCTTCAGGGGAATAATCAGCCGACTCTGCGTGGCTTAGAGGGCCTTCCATAAGAACCTTCATCAAGCTCTGAGGAGGAGGAAGATGAAGATGTGGAGTAAATCTCCCTCTTCATTCTGCTTCAGGACAAAGAGTCTGTTGAACAACCTGAGTTTTGATTATTCTAGGTGTGACTCTGAATACATGTGCAGCAAAAACACATGAACATAAAAACTCAACCTACTGATTTAAAAACACCAGAAATAAACTTTAAGATCCTAGAAAAACTACTTTAAAAGTACTTTAATGTAGTTTTACTTTCTTAAAGAACAAACCCAGAAATCAACTCAAAGGAGAGAAATTTAAACTTTACGTTTAGAAGCTTAGAGTTGGTCTTCAGACTGAAGCAGGTCTGAACTTCTTCTGAGCAGAAAAATCAGGATGTTGGTTGAGGAATGTTGAAGAGTGGGTCAGGTACGTAAAGTAGAGTGGGTCAGGTACGTAAAGTAGAGTGGGTCAGGTACGTAAAGTAGAGTGGGTCAGGTACGTAAGTTTGTAGAGTGGGTCAGGTGCGTAAGTTTGTAGAGTGGGTCAGGTACATACNCTACGCCACGCGTGATTACGTCAGACGAGGCTATGCCACGCGTGATTACGTCAGACGAGGCTATGCCACGCGTGACTACGTCAGACGAGTCTACGCCACGCGTGATTACGTCAGACGACGGCGACTGCGGTTTTTGCATCCAAAAACCACCTCAAGCGAGTGTAAAAACTTTTTAGTGAATTGAGGATTTTTTTTCGAACTTTGTTTCCATCTGACTTTTTTTCGTAATTTTAATGCGACACTTCTAAATGCGCATCAAAAAGCCTTGAAACACTGTTAATGACAGATTTTCTTCTCTGGATCTCAGAGCAGGACTTCAATCTGAACTTGTAAAGTTCTTTTTTACTTTGAAGTCATTTATGAATGGACACTTCCTGGTATGTGGGGCAGGAAACATAGCCTTATATGGTGTTCTTRGGGTGGTAATTATGCTAATCTAATCTCCTCGTGCACGAGCAGCTGATACACATTCATCAGATTACGCAGCTCATTTACACACTTTTCCTGTAGAGTTTGTTGAATCTGACGTGACATGTTCGTACGAACCCTTTGTACGAACAAAAGTAAGAGAAATTTAGGAGAAGAATACGAACATGTTCTTGCATGAGGCCTGTTGTGTTTTTATCACAGGAAGTCAGAGAAACTCCACCCATAAAAGTGGGAGGGGTCTGTCAGGGTTAGAAACCTGGGCAGACTCCTCCCACTTTTATGGGCGGAGTTTAGCTGTGTTTGAATCATTACCCTTCTCACGATGAACAGTTACAAAGTTAAAAAGTTTGGAATATTTGAGTCTAAAGTTTTGTTTTCAAAACAAACTGATTTATAAAACCTGTTGTTTTTTAAATGATGAATCAAAGACAGACCTGTTTGAGTTGTCCTCACTGTGTGGTCGTCTCCCCCCTCCCCCCCACAGCAGCAGGGCGTGGGTGGGAACGAGGAGGAGCCTCCGCAGCGGCCGGCCATCTCCTCACTGCTGTCCTCCAAGCCGGCGGTGGCGTCCTCCACGGACATGCTGCACAGCAAGCTGTCGCAGCTGAAGGAGTCCCGCGAGCTCTACCAGCAGGACCACCACGCCCACTCCAACTCCCCCACCCACGGCCGCTCCGCCCCCGCCAACCTGGACGACCTGAAGAAGCGTCTGGAGCGGATAAAGAGCAACCGGCAGTGAAGCGGCTCCGCCTCCCCCTCCCGCTGACTCCGCCCACTGTGCCTGTCTCTGTTAGAACCCCCCTCCCCTCGTAGAACCCGCCCCACTCCCTCCCCAGTTTGGACTTCTGTAACCTGTGACGGCGTCCCACAGGAGGAACAGTGTCAGGAAGCGTGGTTCTTCTTCTGTGGTGGCGCCGCAGCAGCTGATGGAGCTGTAGCGCCCCCTGTGGTCCGACACTGGTAGCTTCTCTTTAACCCTCCTGCTCTGCAGTTTCTCACATCGGATCATTTCAAGCCCAAAGCACACGTTTCACCCCGAGGGTCCGAGGACCGCCGCAGCAGGAGCGTCCATCTTTTCTTGAATCCGATTAAAGGTTTTCCTCGTTGATCTCCTGTAGTTTGTGCTCAGACTGTGGAGCATCTGTAAATACTGTATTTAAGTCCTCGTTAACGCATCACATGGTTTGTTTAGCAGCAACACGCAGAGCCGACGCCCAGCAGAGCTTTGACCCCGCCCCCTCCCTCCCTGGGCGGCGGCTCCGTGTCTCCGGTGAAGAGCATGGCATGAAGTCAGTGACTGTTTGACATTTGTTTTGTCCTGTAAATAAAGTTACTTTAACAGAAACTAGTTTAATTTTATATGTTGTGAGGAGGAGGAGGATGAAGATGAGGGCGTAGCTGAATGTTTGAAACTTGTTTTTGATTTTATTTTCTTTTTTAAATCCAGTCAGTTTGGTTTACTTGTTTAATCCACAGTCAAACTGCAAATAAAGTTTGTTCTTTTTTAAACGATCTCATCTTTGAGTTTTATTTAAAGTTCCAGTTTCTCAGTCAGAACCAGAATCTTTAAAAGTCCAGTTAATAAAGTTTTAAACTAAAACCTGTTTCAGCTTTAGTTCTGAAGGATTTATTAAGCTTAATGTTTATAAATGTTTGAATGTGGAAAAATGAGCCAGAACTGAACCGACAGGTGAGTTTGCAGCTTTGCCACCAGATGGCGCCAAAACAGTTATTTAAATAAAATATTTGACCTGAAAGTTGAACAAAAACTGAAGTTCTGTCAAAATAAAAACCTAAAAGACTTGTTTATATAGCAGATCTTTTTTTTTTTCATGTTTTTGTAGGAAATATTTCTCATTTCTTTGCTTTTCCAGATTAAAAACATTTTTGAGCGACTGATTTTCTGGTGGAGTGACTTCAGAACCGGGTCGTGGACCTGCTGGTTCTGACTAAGTTCTTAAAGAGTGACATCATGCTGATGAAGAGGCTCTTGAAGACCCCACCAGAAAGGCCTTTCTTCTCGTCTCTTCTACCAGATTTTATTTGATCTCAGAGAAACCAAACGGCTGAAACAGAAAAGCTGACCCAGGTCTCAGTTTGAGCTCAAAGCTTTGATCAGGTTCGTCCAAAAACACGAGTTTTACTCTGAAATCTAAATATTTGTTAATAAAAATCATTTTCACTCCTTTATGTTTTGTATTTTACAGCCACAGAGCTGCAGGTTCTGACAGGAAGTGACGCAGCAGCAGGAGGAAGTCTGGCTCCAGATCTGTCTTCTGAAGCAGGTAGGTGAAGAACTGGACCAGGACCAGGACCGGTTCAAGACACAAACATAGTTTATTAAATCCTAAACTAAAACTCTACAAACATCCTCTGAAAAACTGTTTTATAAAGTTCCTCAAAATTATACACGAGTAAAAGTATTTGACCATAAAATTACTTTGGTAAACGTTGGTCTTCTCTGAGAAGATTACTTGAGTAAAAGTCTCAAAGTATCAAGTATTCACTGTACTTGAGTATTAAATATAAAATTGAGCAGTAAATAAAGTAAAAAGTTGACAAATAATATTAACACAGTATTTGTACTACATTAACACAGTATTTGTACTACGTTAACACAGTATTTGTTTTATATTAAAACAGTATTTGTACTACAGTGACTCAGTATTTGTACTACNACAGTGACTCAGTATTTGTACTACAGTGACTCAGTATTTGTACTACNGTATTTGTACTACAGTGACTCAGTATTTGTACTACATTAACTCAGTATTTGTATTATATTAACACAGTATTTGTACTATATTAACACAGTATTTGTACTA